AGCATTCAGCAATTGCACGTTTGCACGCGCACTGCGGAAGGATGCACAGGTGACGGTGCATGCCTTACAGGAACTGCTCATTTATATGGCGAGCAGATCCTTGGTCAAAGTTTTCCTCGACGAATCTCGTGATGCACAGACTTCGGTGGAGACTGCGGCCTTTTCGGCCGACAACTTTGTAGCAACACTTAGTACTTCGTTGGTTTCCCAAAACGAAAGCTTCTTGGGGGATAGTGCAACCCCCTTTCGCGTAGTCAGTTAGAGCAGCACAATCTGGATGGAACTAACAACGTGGTCCACCAGCGTGCAGCTAAGATTCTGGCGAATCAGCGCAATGTAGCGCCGTATACGCCATCTGATAATAGGCGAACGATGGGCTCGGATACGTCCGCACTCCCAGACCCGGTTACGTTATCTAGACCTGTAGTACGGCAAAATCCGCCGGCTACTCAACCGGACTCAGGGATAGCAGGGGTAGCAACAGGCAGTGGGGATGTACCACTAACAGAGGCAGAGAAGGCGCAATTTGCACAGGTCCAGGAGGAGGATGCCATGAGGCAGCGAATCAGGCAAGAGGCGCGTCTTCTGATGGCGGAAGAAGCTGCTCGCTTTCGAGCGGAGCCTCTCGCGGCAGAAAGCACGTCTGGCTCGTCAACGAAGGGATCAACCACGGCGAGCTCAACCTCAGGATCAGCGCAATCTTTGAATGGGGTGCTCCTGGCTTCTAGGGCGTCACGGATGATTGACCTGGCAGTTTTGCGTCTATCAACTGGGATGTCGGAAGACGTTTCGCAGTTCTGTATGGTTCTTCGCAACGGCAGCAACAAAGCGTATGCGGCACTTGCGATGGTCAACGTCAACATTAGTAGGGGTTTGCTTGCACAGGATATTGCTGAGCCTGCGCTACTGGAGAAAGTCGTGCGTGAAGTGAATGAGCAAATAGTCGTTGTTGAATTGTTGTTTACGCTCATGTTTCGCAGCTCATAGCACGTTCTTTCTGTTACTGGGTTTGCTCAGTTGGTTCCAGCAATCATGGGCACTTTATGGCCCATCCAAGATTAAAGACAGGGTTAGCACTAAGGTTAAGGCGCGGGTCAATAACCAGCAGCCAAAGCGCCCGCAGGATGCTGAAGGCCAACAAGCGGGTGGTGGTGGTGGGCATAACGGCGGGAAGAACGCCAAAGAAGGAGGTGGTCAGCAGCAGCAACAGCAGCTAACCACTCAGCAGCAAATATGACAGTCGCAGATTAACTACTTAATTTTTAAGTCGCGCCACGAGAGGAAGTAGAATGGAAGCGAGGATCGTGATAGAGGTCGACGATCAACCTCCCGCTCTCGATCGAGAGAGCAAAATCCTGAGCGATATCATAAGAAAGACAGTGATGAGCGCTATTCCAAGCCGTGGAAATCGCGTGGCAGGTAGTCGGAGTCAGAGGACGGCGACTCGCGTCGAGAGCTCTCACACTCACACAATCGCTCGCGAGATCACTCACGTTCGCGTAGTTGTGATCGTGGGCGTGGAAAGTACAGAGGAAGTCGTAGTGGAGACAAGTCTTATTCCGAATCGTCGGAATCGGAAGGTGTCCTGTACTCTACTGCGTCACGATACCAACCACAAAGTTGAGAACTGCCCATGTTATGGGGGAGGTCAGCAGGGACGGCAACACAAAGGAAGCCACGTCGCAAGTGAAATGGTGCGGTGGTCCCTGCAATACTTGGCGCTGTGCACACCTGGGTGTATGTAGATTCGGGTTGTACGTTCAACCTTGTATCGAATCGCATACTCCAAACGATTGGTGTGACAGCGCGGGATAGGTATGCAGGGCCACCATTAAAAGGAATAGATGGTATGGGGACTTTGGCCCCAGAATTTTCAGTGCCATGGGATGACTTGGAGGCTTATTTGGTCATCCTTGGGAACTCTCATGCATTAGCAGAAGGTCACCCTTTCTCTGTCGTGGAAAACATACCCATGGGTTGTGACATACTCATTGGGTATGATCAGATGCAACATTCGAAATGGGCGTTGATGTGGTGTGAGGACGAGTTAATCGTAGTACCTCATTCAGCTATTAAGTGGTCGTGGCTCAAGGGTACCATTGTTCCGTTGAGTCCACAAGTCAAGTTGTTGTTTGGTTTCCGACAGCCGAAGCCGCGAGCGCGGGGTAAGAAGGTGATGAAGAAGCGGCATAAGCCGCGTCGATAATCAGAGCATGTAGCTGGTGGAGCCAGCGAGCATATTCGTGACCGGACTACTGGTGATTATCGTCCCACTACAGACACCGCTTGGCAGCCTATTGTTCCAAGTTCGGCGTCTGGCGTTTCGTCTGGAGATGACGACTATCCGGATATCATGTCGGACTCGGATGTTTCGAGTGATGAGTACATAGTGTGGCCAACTATGGGTCACCGGCCTCCCAAGCAAACGTTTTTGAAACGTTCACCCCCAGCGGGGAGGTAGGAGGTGAGCGATGACAGCAGTGAGTAATCCTGCTGGAGTTTGCTATCTCATTCGTCGGATGACGCTGATTCTGTTCATAACACTTAATCGGTAAGCCGGCTTAGGCTAGTTTGCCAGATTTGGATAATCGTATTGATATCCTAAATCACGCCCTCGATGACTTGGATAAGCCTGAAATCCAGAACTGTGACCGGTGTGCGAACAAGTGTTTGGAATTTCACCGTTCTGGGCCACGCCAGCTGGCTAAGAAGGCGAACAAGTCCGACTCCGACCACGCACGTTCGGAAGCTTTGATTGATATATATATATATATATATATATATATATACACACACACACACACACACACACACAACACACACAACAAAC